ACAATAATCAKATTCAAAGGAAACTTGATATTCAAATTTCAACAAAGCTTTGACATATTGGCAAATAAGAGGGGAAAATGAGAATTATAATRTAGTCAACACAGTAATGAATTTCTATTGGAACCTTTGAACTCTTTGGCTTACATAAAATAAATTGGAATTTTACTGAATTTTTAAAGGTGGGAAATGGTCATCTCCTTGAAGATATCAGCCTGGCAGCATTAGAAGTAAACCACAGACAATTACAGAAGGAACTAGGAGATGTCCTTGTCTGTCTTCACACTCCAATTGTATTGGCTCCTGCACTGATCAAGTTTTCAATGGTCTTAGTCCTAATAGTAGTCTCTTCCCTTAAAGAAAGTAAACTCAAAGGGGAAACAGAAATAAATAAATAAACAAAATAGTGAACACCCTCATCACTTAAAATCAAATACAAAAAAAAATGTCAATAAAGAAAACTATTTAATAGATAAAAGAGTAAATAGATAATACAGCATAACTAGATTGTGGTATAAACATGACTTGCTCAGCCTGCTGATGTTCTAGCAGCCTTATTGAACTACAATTGGCATACCATAGTTGAACAGCACAACTCAATGTGGTTGTTTTTTTTTTTTTTAGTGCATTTAAAGAGTTGTGACATCATCACCAAAGTTTAATTTCAGAACATATTATCACATCATCTCAGCTAAAACTGTCCATGAGGAGTCACCTCCCAACTCCTGCATTGGCCCTCTGCAGCCAGYAATCTCCTCTCTGTTGCTACAGGTTTGCCTGTTTGAGGCTTTTTCCTAGGAATGTAATATTGCAGTATGTATTCTTTTAGGTCTGGATTCTTTCATTCATGTTGCTGTATGTATTAATACTTTATTTGTTTTTTGCTTGTCTTTATTGCCAGATAATGAATTGTATCATATTCTGGTTAACCATTTGGTTGTTTCTCTTTTATTGGCTTTGTTTTTAATTGAAAAATGGAAATATGATGTATACTATAAATGTGTGTGTGTATACACACAAACACGTTGTAGAATTAAATATTCATCAACTCACATATTTATCATTTTTTGTGATAACATTGAATTTTTGTGTTACATTTTGCTCTGCTCTCTAGGCCACAAAAACCAGGTTCTAAATAAACTGAGCTGAAAAACAAGACCATCAAATCATGTTTTCACAAAGGGTTAAACAATGACTTTAACAAAATGAAAGGGGCTGAAAACTTATCTCAATGTTAGAGCCCTGGTCCTGCTGCAACAGGCTCTGGGTTCAATTTCCCACACCACCTCCATGACAAATGAAGCCTATTGCTATCATAAAACATATATAACCAGTAATATTGTGTATCRTTACTAGGTTTTTGTACTGTTAATAAATAAAAGAAATTATCTCTTAAATCCTTATTTTATGTTTATTATTGCCTTAAGATGTTTTGTACACTTATATATAATATTCTAGCACAGTAGTACAGACACACACACACATATGTATGTATGTATACTTATGCACACACATACACACTGGGTATGCCTGCTCAAAGCTTTTTATTGATGGGGTGCAATATTTAAGAAAATAAATTGGAAACAGCTAATAGAATCGATTATAAAATCTTGGTAGTCCAACTTTATCTGGCACAATTTTATATGGACAGTATTTAAAACTATTAGCTCACTGACCTCCCCCAAATACAAAAGGTGGCAATTCATCTATGTTTGTGTGAATGTGTATTTCTTCCTTAGCATGCACATTTTACTTGGTGAATAATTCTGCATGATATATTTGTATAGGACACAATGATCACAGAAGCAGTATATAGTGGTTGAAATACAATTTCCAAATTTAGATCACCTGAGTCTGAATTTTGGCCCCATGATTTATTAGCTATGTGACCTTGGATGGATTACCATTCTTTTCCATGTCCCAGTTTCTTTGTATGCAAAATGGGGACAGTAACAGAACCTGTATCATAGGTCTGTGGTGAAGATGAAATGAGTTCATGTTTGAGTCCCTACACCTATTGTTTGACACCTGGACAGTATTCATTAAAGGCCAGCCAGCCACCAGACACACACACACACACACACACACACACACACACACACACGATCTGGTATATCTGGACACATTATATTTTCTATGTAAATATATATCTGGTGTTCAATATGTACTTATATTGACAAACAACAATATTATTATTAATAACATTTAATATTTATAGCCAACATACACCAAGCATGAGTTTTAGGCATCAGTTTAAGGGCTTTGCATATATTGACTACTTCACTTTGGGGAAAACAAATAGATGACATGACAACATAATGTAACATACCGTATTTTCATTTTTCTCATTCTGCAGATTAGGAAACTGAGGCCCAGGAAAAGGMTGAATAACATAGCTAGCCTAAGTTCACACGGCTAGCATGTGATAGAAAAAGAAAATACAGCTCCCTAGATCATCATCTGAAGGTTTAATAATATTGTTAAATATTACTTTTATATTTCATAATATCTTTGGTTTTGTTAAATGCTTTCGCCTACATTGAGACTTACTACAAGCCTGTGCAAGGAGGAGGGCAGGGTTATTATCCTTGTTTTCATAGGAGAGAAAAAGATACAACTGGGACCATGGGTGCTTTTTGGTGGAAGTGTTTCTATGCTGCAAATATCCACAGCCTCTACATGCAATAGCCAACCACCACAAATGAATTGAGTACTTATAATGTGTCAATTCTGAGGTCAGAGCTGGGGAAAGAAGCAGCAGACCTCTTCTGGAAGCCTCACAGCCTACTGGAGAGACAGGAATGGAAACCAAGATTCACTGTACACAATATGTAGTCTCAAAGGGGGATGTGAAAGAAAGGCTTATGGAGCACAGAAAAAGGGGCCATCTGTGCCAGGGAGGTCTTCAAAAAGGCAATGGTGGTGGGGGAGGGGGAGGCTTTCCTGGAACACAGAATGCATGTGTGTGTAAGTGGGAGTCCATGTTTGTGTCAATGACAATGTGTCTAGGTGTGGCTGTGTATAGATCTGAATATGTACCTACAGAGGTTTAATAATGCAAGCATTAATTTATAAATATGCTGGCTTAACAGTATGTAATAAATAAGCCTGAACATGAAAGAGAATTTGTCTGGATTCATACACAGCATAGCAGAATTGGACCAGCCTTATATGTGCACCCTCTACACCCACTCCCCAAGACCAGAGGAACCAGGGACATGGGTCCCATCCTGCTCCAGCAGCTGCCCCGTCATGAGCTAGGATGATTAAACCCATCAAGTTTTTCAGTCCATCAGTCTGGATGTGTAGCCCTCGAATAGAGCCAGCAAACTTGTATGAGTACTGGGGGTGAGGAGGTACAGGCATCTATGGGTGTGCATCTGTGTGCACATTTCTGGTTTTAAGGAAATGCTTAGTGTTGGCTGCTCCTAACCAGACTGGGAAATTTCCTTTCTATCTTCATCTTCACTCCCTTGGGGAGTTTATCCACTTACCTGTTTCCATTGCTACCCACATGAGGCTGCCTTCTGTCTCCACTTAGATGTCCTGGGGATATCTTAAATACACTCCTGTGCTAGGGCTGAGCGGAAAGGCAAGGCTGAACTGTGTCAGTGCCCCTATTCCTTGGAGTGTGTCAGTGCCCTGATTCCAGCCTCATTCTGGTCCAGGTATCCCCCAGAGAAGGCAATGTGTCAGCAAAGGCAAATAGTGCTGTGGCAGCCATGAGGACCCCAGAGGGTCATTCTCAGGGGTAGGCTGTTCAATGACCTCCCCACTGCTAATAAAATCTGTTTTTAAGGCAAATCTGATAAAGGAGTTAAAGTGAAAACTCCTCTCTACAATTCCTGCAGGAATTAAGAATGTGGACATCAAGGCTATAATACTTATTTCTTTTAAGATAAACCAATCAAAAGAGCTAAAATGAGCACAGATGATACATGATCAATGGAGGAATTGACAAAATGTAATTGATAGCAAATAATATGTAATTAATGGTCACCAACATTATCTCTATTAAGTGGCAAAATAACTTGAATCCGTTATAAAGCATATAAATTCAGGGCAATGGGGTTGTACAAGGCACAGGCATTATGTACTGAAATACACTGGTGATTTGTAAGTGTTTACATCCTAGCCCAGTGCACTGCCACACTGCTAAATGTATTCACATGTTAAGATGGGAAAGAATAAGGTGCAATAATCTACACATGTAGCATGTCATATTTAAGTTGAATGAATGAGTGGATGAAGAGAAAAACAAACACTATCAGGAAAGTAGAATTGTTTCATATAGTGGTCCCCGACTACTTAAATTCTGTTCCTAGTTCCACCAATGATTTATTTTATTTTAAGATGTATTTTAAAATTCATCTATTGATGTTTGATTCATAGCAAGATATCTCTCAAAAATATCAATATGCTTAATCAAACCTTGTTGAAATGTCTTTCAAAATGCAAATACTCTTTAATAAATATTAATTGCATATCTGAATATTTCATGTTAATTGTAGTATCTTATATAACATATATTTCCACATGTTGGGCACAAATATTTCTCTAAACATGAAGAAAAGATGCTGGGTTTATAATATGCCAGAGAATTTTTTTCCATAGTCAGGATATTTTTAATTGCACTTACCTACTGCACTGATAATCTGAAAATAAGAAATACCCTGATTATGGCTAGACACTCTGTTTAAAGGCTACGGTTTCTATCATGGACTGCTTTCAACTGTTATATTTTATGGCACAGATTCAGTGGGAATCTGATCTGCTAAAATATTTGGGCTGTGAAAACTCCCACACTGTGACAGATGTCAAGTCCAATTAAGTGACTCATGTCCAGGTTTCTGTCCAATAGGATTTCCCATTAAATATCAATTTAGGGGGAAAAAAATTCCATCCCCCTTCTTAAGCCTTTATCTCTTCCACCATCTCCAGGCTGAGTCAATTGGTACCAGGAGAGCCAAGAAGCCACACATGCATCTCTGCCTCTTTGCTCTGGCTCTCCACCCTCTTCCTGTCTTTCTCTGCTTCTCTGTCACTGTTACTCCAGGAGACGTTCACTTTTCACCAACCTTTCTCCAAGCATCTCCAAGCCACTGACTATATATATTTTGCTACAAGGTAAAGAGAGGAGGGGGTGGGGCGGTGGGTGTAACCAAGCTTTGAAAGACTTTGAAACTGGAAAATAGGTGCCTTTTTATAAAACATACAAGTAAATGAGGGACGAGGAAGAGGCAACCTTAGCTCTGAGTTACAGTATTGTGTTCCTGGGAACTGGGGAGACATCAGCTGAACAAAGCCTTATCTAGAAAAAAAAAAAAAAAAATCACTTCTGAGCAAGATCTCAGCTCTGCCCTGCACTTCCCAGTTTCTGCTCAGCCCTATTAAGGGAAGGAAAGGATCCTTCAGGGGCAGAATCTTATCTTAACCATCTTTCTTATTGATTATTCCGCTATTAGAAAGTGGAGGAATCAACCCTTTGATGTGATTGTGTTTATCTCTGCATCTCTTTTGTTATTTATAGAGCCCTAGAAGAGGAGAAAAGCAGGAGACTTTTCAACACATCGTTTAAAAAAAATCAACAACGAGTTTTTCAAAATGTTTGAGAACAATTAAAAGGAAAAGGCATTTTTGATCTGTCAACTAAGTGAACAATCATTCATGTCACCCACATTCTGAGATACCGTTCCTCGATGTGGGCACCGGCGAGGTGGCAACTGCTCCTGCATTTTTGAATGTAATAAACATTTGCTGCTTTTAATATTTTCCGGAAATCCCCCCTCGCTATTCCCTGGAATTTTAACTCTAAAAGATTGGAGAAAAGATTATCGAAAGGGCTTTTGCAAGGTAAGACTCCTTTACATTTTTTTTTTCCAGCTTAAAACTAAGTTCATTCATATTGCATTTATTTCAGTCTGGAGTCAAAGAAATAAAATGCATACACGACATAATATTTATGAATATTTAAAATATGCCTGGAGGAGAATTTAACATGTTTTGAGGGGAACCCAGGAACTTTTTATGCGAACTACAACTATATCGTGGCTTATTGTGATTTTCTATTGCTCACCAGATATATTTTTGCCCTTTCAAGCCGACTGTGTAAATGCAAGTTATTTTWCTTATAAAGGTAGCCGAGAAAAACCCATAGGGACTCAAATGTAGTTCACCTGGAACATTTGTTTTTATTTCGCCTTAGAGGATCTGTTTTCCTTGCACGGAAACGAAAGCTGTTTTGGAGCGGGATTCGCTCAGAGGCAAGCGCGGTGCTGGGAGCAGACCCTACATCCCCCGCTTTGTTTCTCTAGGAGCAAGCCCTCCTACATCTTGCATTCTCGGTTTCCTTGCGCGTGGAGAGTCTCTTGGGAGGCACACGCGGGGACCCAGTGTTCGCAGCCGGGTTGCCCCTMCGGTCACCTGCGGGCTGTGCACGCAGCTGGTGCGGGAGCCTTTCCTTTCCAGCTGGCCCCTTTCTTGAAGTCCAAATTTCCCCGAAGCCCAGCGGTTCAGAGCGGGCCCCCTCCCAGAAGACGCGCAGGCCGGGGTCTTTCTCCAGTGTCCGGGCTCGGTGGCTTTTCAGGGAGGCCATCACCAGAAGACCGCTCAACACAGACTCTGGGCCTTGGCCAGGCCTCCCGTGGACAGTTGCGCGTCGGGGATCACCGGTCCCGGGAGCGCCCAACTTTACCGCGTAGATGCCCTTGGCGCCCGGGCATCACTCAACGCCCCGGCTCCATCCGCCCGCCCCGCCACAGTCCCCGGCTTTCCCCATCCCTCTCCAGCCTCTCCTCCTAAAGCGACAGGACCGCCAGCATTTTCCCCGTGAGGTGGTCGGCAGACTGCCGGGCATTGTGTTATCTCACATCGCTGCGTCCCTAGGTCCCCTATGTGTGTGGCTGTCTGCATGACAGATGGTGCGCCCGGAGCGTGCGAGGGCATAGGAGTCAATTTTCTTTTGAAAAGAGCCTACACGTTTTTCTTTAGTATTTCGGAGAAGGGTGAGGGTTACCAGGAAGCCCCGGGCAGCTTGCTATCAGCCTGAGCTCAGGGATGGGGGTCCCATGCAGCCTGTACCCCAGAGCAGTGCGCCCCCCGTGCAGCACCAGGCCCTCCGGCGCGGCGGCTTTGCAGCTGCTCTGCTCCAGACCCTCGGGACGAGAAGCAACCACGTTTCCCCGTGCCATTAAAACCTAGGTGTATTCATCGTTTCGAATCATTCGTTTGTCTGGAAAGGGGACGAAGCGAGGGAGGCGATGTAGCGCAGTTGATGGTAGGCCAGAGGAGGCACAAAACCCCAGCGCGCTCAAGGCCTGAGGTCATTCCACAGCCCCAGGGCCACAGGCCAGTCTTGGCCTCTTGTGGGCAGAAGTATCCGTCCGGGATGTGGCCTAGGCCACGCAGAGACCTCGCCAGCTCCTGCGCCTCCGACCCGCTACCCTGCGCTTCCGCGCGTCCTCCCTCTTGCGCGTGGGCCTGCTGTGGGGAGGGGGCCCGGGATGTGCGACCGCCCGGAGGGCCGGCATGGCAGGCATCCGTCCTCCATCCTTTATAGCAAAAGAAGATCCCGATTCCCTTTATTGACTGATTTTCTAACTCCCCTTCAGCCTCCAAAATGATGCTGAGTCCGGACCAAGCCGCCGACTCGGACCACCCCAGCTCGGCGCACTCGGACCCGGAGTCGCTGGGAGGCGCGGACGCCAAGGTGCTGGGCAGCGTGTCGGACCTGGAACCGGTGGAGGAGGCCGAGGGCGATGTCAAAGGCGGCAGCCGCGCCGCACTCTACCCGCACCCGCAGCAGCTGAGCCGGGAGGAGAAGCGCCGCCGCAGGCGGGCCACGGCCAAGTACCGTTCGGCCCACGCCACCCGCGAGCGCATCCGCGTGGAAGCCTTCAACCTGGCCTTCGCCGAGCTCCGCAAACTGCTGCCCACGCTGCCCCCGGACAAGAAGCTGTCCAAGATCGAGATCCTGCGTCTGGCCATCTGCTACATCTCCTATCTCAACCACGTCCTGGACGTGTAGGGCAGGGGGCGCCGCGGGAGGCCGCCTGTCCCAGCGTTCGCGAAAGGCGACCGATCCAGGCTGCCGCCACTGGCATGGCCAAGGTGGCGACGGCCCAGCGGGACGGCCTCCGGGAGACACTTGGACCGGGGAAGAAGCTCACAGCCTGTTCTCTCTGGTCAGTGGGACAACAGGGGAAGGTTTCCTTCGCTGGGAGGTGGGGTTGGCTGGAGAGCCCTGGGGCTCACAAAGGGTATTTTCCAGGCCAGAAGAACCTTCTGGAGGCACCCAAGATGAGCCGCCCTGTGGCCTTCCCTCCGTGTAGTAGGCTCCCCTAAAGGGTTATTGCTTTAACCCACTGGAGACTTTGAGTTCTCCTCTATTTATCTCCTAYACATCTTCATGTTTTGAAAGAAGGAGGGTAGAAGCTCAGAGTACAGGCTCAGAACTTTAAATTGTGTGGAATTTTTCTAATTGACAAATCACCAAATGCTGGCAAGAAAGAGAGGAGGGAACTTATTCCATACAGAGATTAAGGCCCAGGAAGGTGGGACAGCAAACTTTCTGTTTGGTCGTCAAAAGACAGATTATATTAGAATTCAAATAAAACAAACCCTGAATATTTGGTAAGGTTAAAAAGACACATGGAGAACAAATACACTGTGGAAGGATTTGAGCTTGGTGAGATTTTAACCCCAAGATAGACCACTAAAGTAGACAGGATAAACCATATTTAAATGGAAAATTTAATATCTGATTGCTTTTTCAGGCCAAGTGCCCCTTTATATATCCAAAAACATCTATTTGTGACCTTAAATATGTGGACCCATAGGTGCAGTTAGAAAAAGACAACCTATTTTTATTTATGTTAGAAGGAGTAGAGTATTTTTTTCAAGACATTTATTTTTCAGAGTGGTGATAATTTTACTTTGGATACTCTGTGCCAATTTATTTATAGTCAAGTGTTTACACTTTTTCCTGTGGAATAATTATGTCTAACTTTTTATGTGTATGTTGAGATTATACTGTGGTCTTTCTTTTGCTCTAATTATATTGCACTTGTATAAGAAGTTTCCCACTTCTCCCTGTTTCTAAACATATTTTATATATTAAGATGTTTGTTCTTGAAAGGTTCTTTTGTTGTGAGATCAGCAACACTAGCACTTCACTATTATAGTTTTTTAAAAAAGTAAGTGTTGTTTTTCTTATCTGTATTTATGTCTGAAAAGTACTTTACAAACTGTTTATAAGGAGAGTAGCTTCTTTGTGCGTGTGTGTGTGTGTGTGTGTGTGTGTGTATGTGTGATGTTTGTGCGTGGGATGGTTTTAGGAAATTAAGTTATTTTCCTAAAAAAATTAAATCAGAACTACTTTCCTCTGTGACAACCAAAAAGAAAAGTCTATAACCTGACAATGTTTCATGTTCTCAGCTGTGAAACTCTTAAAGTGAGGAGTGTATTTTAGAGACAAGGAAAAAAAAAACACATCTGCTATCCAAAGATTTTAGTCTTTTTCAGGGTTTTTTTGTGTCTCTGTTGCTTTATATAATGCAATATTTTGTAGTGAAAATAGATATAATCTGGTTTCTATCTGACGAGTTTTTCATATCTCATGAATGGTGCGCTGTTTTGCATATAAATAAAGGTATCAAATAAAGTCCTCTCTTTTATTTTAAGCATCTGTCTAAAACTAATGAACATGCTGGCTAAGCATGAAATATCTTAATGGATTCAATTCCTTAGAAAGGAACAAGTCAAACCAAAACAAATCCTTAATGTAGACATATTCATATACTGAGATTTGTGTATTTGATGCTTTTCTAAAATTGGGCATGGATGACTCTATAAGTGCATACCCCACCTACAGAGATGACATACATCATGCTACCCCCAGTGAGGAAAAGCAGGATAAAGTTTATGTAAAATATTACTTGAATCACAGTTCTTTTGCTTTAAAGAAAAAAAAGTAACTATCTTATTAAGCAATCTTATGTAGTAATCAACGCCTTCGAGGCAGAGTTGGGAAACTCAGGTTCTAGAAATGACCTGCATTAAGTCACATAGCGGTCACAAATGGCGGTGAGAAAAACTGCTATTACACTGTTAGGCAGTGACAACTCTCCCTCATGGCCCTTATTAAAAACAGGGGTATATATATATTACTCTTGTAATACTCAAACATTTAATCAGTATACAGATTCAGGACATAACACCTGCAAACAAGGAAAGAAAACAAGACCAAAACCTGGACCAATCTTGAGACAGGAAGWATGTCATTTACAAAAGCCTAGAGCTCGTATAAAAATGTGAAATAGTCATCTACAAGTAGCATACGTAAGTATCTTAAAAACTAGATGTCTGTAGGTGCACACACATATATAGAACAACATGAACTGAGTCTATATCACACCAAACCCCTGGTTTTGGTATACAAAATTCAATTATGGAGATGCTTGGTTTATGTACCCAGCATCTGCAGGATTATGAACATTTTTCACTTTTCTCCCAGGTTTCTGGTAGTCATACTTACAGTTCCCAAAACGTGGCACTTCATTTGGTTCTTTTAATGGAGTTGCTCAGTAGGAAAGCACTTCCTACCCAGGACACGGAGGAGAGCAGCACCAGACTTTGCCTGGAATCTAGACAAGGTTTTGGCACCACAGTATGACTGGCCACTGTCTGACCTACAAAGAACATGCCGTCTAGGACACTGAGTAGCTGTAGGTGTACTCACGTCTAGGCAGACAACTACTCTCAGTCCTCATAGCACCTCTACTAAGTAACATAAAATGTGTCACTGTTCTTATGCCAGCGAAGTAAGGTCAACGTCTAACCTCTGGAAGCCTTCCGAGAGCCATCTTTTGCTGAGTGATGTGCCTCATTTTTGACCGACCAACACAGTCCTCCCATTCACATCTAAGAGGGACCGGTTAACTCACCTGCCTTTACCTTTGGAGTTGGGTGGAGGGCAGCCTCCCTTCCCAGCTACACAATCCATGGGGATTCCAGGAGAGGATCTTTGCAATGTCATTTCAAATGCAAAGCCGCTGAGCACCCTCCAGAGAGAAATGAGGCCCTGTGACACTCTGCTGGAGCAGAGGGTGACCAGTTTATCCCTTGAAGGTAGCATGGACTCAGTGATTGGACAACCTTATGTGAGAGAGCCACAATTCTCTGGAATAATGGTGATGGTACATCAGTTACTCTTAAGTCGAAACATTATTTATTGACAATCTACTGTGGGCCAGGTGATGTTCTAGATACTAAAAGTAGAAAAACTGTATTGTTCTGGAGAACACTCCATTTTGACGACATACAAATAAACCATTTAATTTTAGATAATGCTAAATGCTATGGAGAGAAATGAAGCACTGAAAGGCGGGACAGCAGGAGGTGCTGGGTGGGGAGTACTTTAGACAGGGCTGTCAGGGAKGCCTCTCCAAGGTGACAAGCTCTGCCTAAAATTTCCATCTGCCTGGCCAACTTCCAAAATAGCTGCCACTTGAATTGCCTTTTCTTCTCATGGTCTGTTAACATGTCCCGAGTGCTTATGAGCATAGAAACAGCCCGTGTGGACCACCACCTTTCCCCAGCTGGCCCCAGCCTTGTCCTTCACCAAATTTGGTCTTTCCCTACACYGACCTGGAACCACCTGGAACAACAGTTCCTCCTGCTACTCCTCACACCTCTCTGCCCCCCACCCAGTGCTCAACAACTTGCCCAAACATTGCTGCTCCTCAGAAATCTTAGCCCCATCTAACCCAGTGGCAAGGCCAGGTGTGCTGAGTATCTCTCTGCCTAGATGACATTTTCCCTGCTTCTACCACGGACCAGAGACTTCCAGAGAACAAGGAACAAAAAAAAAAAAAAAAAAGAAAAGAAAAGAAAAAGAAAAAGAAAGGAAGAAAAAGAAAAAGTCATTCCCCCCCCCCCAGAGAGGGCAGAGGGGTGTGGCAGTGGGGAGATCATGGGATCATGGGTGGCAGGATGGAGTGGGAAAGAAAGGAAGAGCAGACTGAGGAGAGAGGCAGTGGGGATGGAGAGGAGCCAAGCTGAACRGGAATGGGAGACTTGTGGGGGAACACCTGCTTCCCACAGGAACCCTGTTGGGGGGCTACCTCCAGTGGCTCTGCTCCACAAACACATGCCACCAAACTGTGTGATGAGGTAAGTAGACAGAACCTATGATTTAGGTAGTTCACATCACAGCTGTCTGTCCCTGGATACCAGTTTCTTCCCACTTACGAACCAACCTTGAGAACATACAGCCAGCGCCATTTTCCAGGTGCAGATGGGCTCTCTCATTATTATTAGTAGCAGAAATACTAATCGTTAACATGTGTTAAGTTTGTAGGATGCTCTCGCTGAGACAAGTGTATGGATGCATTAGCTCATAGAATTCTCACAACTCAGTGGGAGAGACACTTTAATCATTTCCATTTAACATAGGAAGAAACTGAGTGTTCAAGAAATTAAATAACTTGTCCAGAGTCATGAAGCCACATTTGTTGGTGTATCAAAGTGTCTGTGCCTACTCATCAGATTCTATAGGTGTCCCTTGATATTGGGTGGCCATGCCACACCCACCCTCCTTGTGACCCCCAATACTGCCTTAGCCATTTGTGTGCATAGGGGAAGCCTCAGCTCTGGGCACACCTAAAGTGTACAGGGACAGCAGTGAACAAGGCCACTTCACCCAGAAGATGGATGAGCAGAAGCCAAACTTGAGGCTCTGCTCTGTTTGCTAAGTAAAGTGTGCACCCTGAAGTGGCTCTAAGGAGGAAAGGAGGCCTTTTGCTATTTTGCAAGAAGACCCTGCAGGCTGGGCCAGCAACCCTGGGCCAGCAACCCTGGGCCAGCACCCCTGAAGGTGAGTCTGCAACCAACCTGGCGCTGTCCGTGGCCTTACTATGCACCAGCACATGGGTAGGTCTGACTCTTTAGTGTCCCCTACCTATACTCCTCACTGTCTCCTAGTCTTTAGAAACATCTTCAAAAATCATTCTCCTGCCTGAAAACTTACCTATTTTGAAACAAATGGAATTCAAGTTCTTTTCCTGAACAAAGCAATCTTTTAGTCTTGATCCAGACGCTCACTAGCAGCCATCTTCGGCCACTCTCCCCAAGGATGAATGTTGCTGCCAAATCCAAATTTCTCATGTCCTCAGACAAGTCAGGCCCCCTTTTTTGGCAGGGGAGGTAC